GAGGGGTGAGGAAGTTACGTGGGAACCAGAGTGCAGAACCTTTACCAGCCTGGAAATGAAGCTCTGCCGCTTACATCAGGGAAGACAGCACCAAGGAAGTCTTTGATATGGAATCCTTACGGATTAGCGGCGATCCTCAAGCACGGGCCAGGCCGCAGCAAGAGATCACTCCTAGCTGCAAAATTCGAAGAAACTGCATTGCCTATACCTGGAAGCCCAGCTCTAACTCTGAGTTAGGGACTGCTCAAGTACCTCCGGCACGAGCATAAGCCACTGTTTAGCCTCTCCTAGTGAGGTGCACTGACTCATCTGCAACAAGCCAGTATGGTGTTCTCAGCCCTGTTTTGTCCCTGGTTATAATGGGCAAAAGAACGTCGGCCAGGGGTAGTCCCCCTCAAATGATCTGCCTTTCTAGAGGGAAAATGGGAGATGCTCAAAACGATTCCATGCTATGGGGAGCAGACTGCCATCCTTCTCAGTCCTCAGCTCTATACAGTGGGTGGACAGAGTGCAACTCCTGTTACCGTGTTTCTTCCACCAGCCATACATCTCTGTTCCCGTTGCTATCAGGTGACGTGCCAACATCTCTGGTCACGGGAAGGATGTCTGAGAGCTTGGTAAAGAGAGTCACAAGCGCCATGGGAAATTTCTATAAAATAATGGCAAGGGAACAGCTGAGCCAGCTAGTTCTTGCCTGTTCCATGGCACGTTCTGTGTAGGTGGCAGCATCCTCTTAAAAAGACTGTCGAGACTCCACAAGTTTTCTCATGAGGGAGAATCAAAACATATCAAAGCATGACACATGGAGAACAGCGACTGTGGTGGAAGCCACCTGTGTGACAGGCAGCACCCAGAACAGATTCAGGAGTTAAATCCATCCAGTAGCTCAGCTGTTGGTGGTTCTTACTGAAAGGGCAGCACAGCCCAGTTTGAGCCCTTTCTGTGGAGAGTCTCACCGGTTTGCGCACAGAACCATAGGGAAAGCCTGGTCCCATCCGCGTGCTGCTCCTGTAGATGTGAGAGACTCATTGGGGCTCTATGTGGTTCTTAGTCAATAATTTACGGGACAGATTAGTGAAGTACAGGAGAACTGGATTCCAAGCTGTAACCTAAAAGGAACTACGTTCAGTGTTTCTATCTTTGGAAGAGAGAGTTAAACTGACCGGCCAAGTTAAACGTCATACTGCCTCATTATGCGGTCTAGAACTGTCTGCCATTAGGGTGACACTTGCATGGAAAATAATAAATCTGTTGCAATTAGCTGTGATTTTCATCCACTTCTGCTTCCAACCAGAGTTATCACTGTTTATGTTTGACACCAGTCTGGCAGCAACTGCAAGCTTAATAACATAAAGGTTCATTTTATTTATTTATTTATTTATTTATTTATTTGGTTGCTACTTGTCTGCATCTCATTTCTAAAACAGCCTGCACAGCATCTTCTGCTTCTGGAAATGTGTTGAGACTAAATTATGCATCTCATCTTTACCAGTGGAGATGGAATATCATAGGAATCAGGGAAGCTGTGAACTGTACCACCTTGTCAGTTATTTACCTGGAGAACCCATTAAACAAAATATTTAAGCAACGAAATATCTTGCTTATTGTTAATAGTATCCTGAATATGAGGAAGCTGATCACCCAGGTTCTCTGGAGTCTGTTTACTCTGCATAATTACATAATAATCAACCACACAGTCAACGCCTATTCAGTAAACATTTTAATTTTATTCTGTCATAGAGGAATACAGTGGTGCTATATTGATTTATTAAAAAGAAAAATCTTGACTCAATACCCTCTTAAATCATGAGACTTAAAAAAAAAAAAAGTATTTTGGGAAATAAGAATGTTTGCTTACCAGCATTTGAGTTTTTCAATTCACATTTTCCAGCAACAATACGGGTAAATACTTAAAATGTCATAGTTACTTTCAAATCATGACTCATCTGAAATAGTGGAGTTACATGAGTAACCACGTCAGGGAAGCATACTCTGAAGTCCCAAGAGTTAGGATATCAAATTTCTTGGTCCATCAATTAAAGGCACTTACACAGTACAACTAGTGCATCTGGAATCCCAATTATATTCTGTGCTGCAGGAAGAAGTTTGGCCAGATTCAAACCTTCAGCTTTAATCCTATCTTCCTCTGACGTTTCACTCCATTCACTCACTGACCACAACTGTCGGCAATTCAATTTCCCATTTTTGTCTTTAGATTTGTCCACTGTTTAGAATATGATGCACAGAGATTTTTAGAGGAGATAGAATTTACCTTCTAATGGTAAAAAGATCACTCTGTCATGAAATCAGGGGAAAAAACAGACAACACTGTGCTTCCATCTTTCCTTTAAATAAACCTAGCTCTGTGATTCAGTCTTCTGTGCCTAAAGTGAGAATAACAGTACATACCGTGCTTTGAAGAATTACTCCTAAATGCACTGAAATATTAATACGGAAGATATTATGTAAAGACATGTAAATGTTCATTGCTGCAAGTGTAAACAAACCCCATTTCACAGCACAGCATAATAGTAGTGAGAAAAGTGCATGGAAGATAAATCCAGGAATTTCAAAACACTCATCCATCCAAACCCACCAAACCAAACCAAACAAGAAATTCTAACATGGTTTGGGAAATCTAGCAGTGTAAAGGTTTTATTCAGGTCCAAAGAAATAACACAACGCTCTTGAAACCAAAAACTACTTTTTTACTGTTGCAAAGAAACTTGAGTCATCAAACTTAATCATCAGGGTGCCCTTTTCAGAAAAGCAGGAGGAAAATGAAAGGCCCAGTAATTTAAAGAGTAAGAGTACAGAACTACAATCATTTTGCACAGCAAATATTACAGCTGGACACACAATTAGAATGGTCAAACACATGTTTTAGGGCTTAATTATCATACTACTGAGTTTGAAATCCTGAGTTTGAAATCCTGAGCTTGTTCCTGGCAAACTGAAACAGGGACTAAGTAGGACATAGCCTGCTCCTCCTATCGTTTGTCACTGTACCAAACTGTACCCATAAATGTCTCTTTTTAGGCTTCAAAAAAAAAGCCTCTTTTTAAGTCCTCAGTGAGGACTACCCATAAGGAAAGTGTCCAAGTCTTCTGCTGTGAATAAATGCCATTCTGCCATATTTGTGCAATATTTCCAGTTATTTTGAGGTGCTACAGGGACTAGACTTGAGAGCCTTGACTAACATTCGGCTCAGAGAAAGCAGTAGTAACTGTCTGCTGCGTGAATCCAAGAACTGGATATTCTTCACCGCTGCAGATGTCCCTTGTCTTTTATGCCAATAGGACCATTATGGTGATTTTTCCCCCTCTCCTTCTCCACAATGACAAATGCCAACACAATCAAAACTTGGAAATTTTCCATGTGAAAAACAGGAACAGAAGAGTGCTGACCTAATCTGCTGTGCTATGCTTTCAGCTGTGACTGTGGGGAAGAAACTGGCCAGGCAGACCACCCTGCTTATCGAAGAATGATACCAGGTGCATCATGGTTAACATTAGACATATCTGTAACCTCATACTATGTAGAAGAAAAAAAAAGGGGGATTTCCATACTTACTATGCTGTACAATACTGCAGATCTTCTTTCTCTGCATTTTAGAATGACATCATCAATCTTTTTGTATGAGTTTAATTACAGCCTCACTTTAATACTGCCAGTAAGACAGTACTGCTCTTAAAGAGGCAAAAAGCTTTATTAGATACTGCAAAGAGCTAGGGATGCTCTTAAAAACAATAAAGGGCAGCCAATCAATCACATTTGCTCTGCCAAGAGCTTTTAAGATGTAACCCAGAGGCTTGAAGCTTCATTACCAAAACATTTTCCCTGTTGCCACTTAAAAAAAAAAATTCTTCTGAAATTTAGTGACTAAAATGTAGGTAATAAAACTGAAACAATAATTGCATGCTTAAGAATGAAAACACAAAGTAGCTCTACTTTCTTTGCAGAGATGAATTTAAAGACTGGCGCTATTTTGGACCCTAAAAATACATCGATCAGTGCCACTGAAGAATGCATAGAGATTTTTACGGAACCCGGACTGTGGATACAAAGGTTCATCTGTGAGTTCAAATTTCAAATAGCAACATACCAGTATCAGGAAACATAGTGTTTAAAAGAAACAACCCCTCCACAAGATAGGCTCTGAAAAATCCTTCATAAGTGCTGCTCAATTTTTCTTTTGTTTCTGCTCTTTACTTGTGCCTAAAGTAGCTGGAAATGGTGCTGTGCTTCTAAACCATGCAGAAAGAAAGCGGTGGTCAACACAGGACCTGTGGCAAGCCAGCTTTTAAAACGTTAGATTTGGAGGTGTTTTATCTTCTCTGCTAGAGTAAGAAAGCTCATGGAATATAAAACGACTTTATACTGTAAGGGAACTCTACTGTATGGTATCATGTAAGAAATCAGACTGGCTAGTAAACTATGCTGTTGGTCTTTTTAAAAGCCAAATGAAAGGCATGTTCAGCTGTACCAACATCAGACTACTTGAGAGACTTTCTTTGCTGCCTGTACTGAATGGGGATGCCCTTGGATGGAATTTTATCTGAGATTTACTGTTTTAGGTGGTGAGATAGTATTTCAGGTTACATCAGTCTGCCTTTTTCTTCTTCTTGGCTGAGCAGTCAAAAGTGTTAGAGCCTTTTTTGTTTTCAATGGTTGCTGTGCAGTCAAAGAGTTCAAGGATCTACCTACTGTATAAAGACATTAAATGTTCTCCAAGGCTTCCAACTCCCTGGCACTCAGAATCACTGATAAGAACCATGGGAATGGAATGGAAAGGGTCGGAGATCACCAGAACAAAGATGGCGACTAGAAGAACAATTCCGTTAGGCAGAGGAATGCTCACATTAAGGCTGCCAAGAAAACAGGCCAATTTGGCTTTGGTGTTATAATAAGGCACAAACACATTCATATTCAATTTAGAAACTTTCAGTGAAATCAAATTTTTTAAAAAGCAATTGGAAGTTCTTGGCATTAATATTAAATCAGTGCTTTAGTTTCGGAAGCTGCTTCACTCCTACAGTCTTTTTAATCGGTCCTTTTTGAGGATTAACCATCTTCAGGTTTCCTGGAACACTGTATCTGCCTCTGAAACAAAATGGCTGAAGTTAGTCCTCAAGTGTCACATTCCTTGTAGGCTTTAACTGCTAGAAATCTGCATGCTTTTTATATTTGCATAACTGATTAGTACTGTGAATTAATAAACCTGAGAGAGGAAAAAAAAAGCATATTCCTGGGTTTGCAGGCTAGCAGAGCACCTAATTATTCTGCATACAAACTCAATTCTCATCTCATGATTCCTGACTGCTTCCTGTTACCTAAATGATGGCTTTTGAAGAACATGACCAGAATACTAAACATTTGTACTAAGACAATGATAACTGGCTAAGGAGACATTTTCATTAGTTACATAATCCCCATTAGGAAATGGAAAAACACTTCACGTAGATGTAGTTACACTTCTTTGCAGGTATTCCACTCTGGAGACTCATGCTCTTGAGCCCATGATCTTACATAGGAGACACTGCCAGCAAACTTCTGAAGTGGTGCTCATCATAGATACATATACCGACTACTCAAAATCTACTAGAGCTGTTTTCATCTTGATCTTCTAAGAGAAATCAGTGGGAATCTAAACAAATCTCCAGGGGTATCACAACATAATATCATTATATTCATGATGATAGCCAGAGAAATACTTTGTTATGCGGTAGGAGCTGTGATGGCGTGATCTCTGCATGTTTCAAATTTCTGGGCAAACAGTCAACAAAGTTGTCCTTGGGCCTCTCTAGTCTTCTTGAGGCTGATACATCCTTTGTTCCAGATCTAACAAATAGTCATGGTCTTGAAGGGAGACCTGCCCCCATAGAGATATGGAGCTACTTCTACTCAGAGCTTCAAAGATCAGAACCCAAGGCCCTAGTTTGCTCAATAATCAATTGATTATTCAAATTCAAACCAATTTATTACTCAAAACCAATCCATTTTATCTGTAGATCACTGTAAAGCTGGACCAAGCAGACAGCGTAATCTATGTGGAATTCTGCAGGCAGCAAAACCGCTTTCCACTCAAAACCAGCTGGACTTAGGGACTTAGAAGCCAGGCAGCTGCAACCCGGGCACTGTGGAAACTGAGCTAATAAGCCCTGCCATATGCCTCGGTATAATAATCAGAGCTCAGAATGACATTAAATTGGCTGCTCAGATTGCATCAGAGACATGAGTCATCAAGACATCCGTGTTGTTCACAATCGTCAGCTTGTCTATCTTCTTCTTGCCTTGTGAAATATCATAAAAAGGACTTCTATTGAACTTGGCTTCTATGTTTGGATGGCCAGGAGACTGAATGCATCAATGAGTAGTGTTCACAATTACTACTCAAAAACGTTTCAGTGTTGCTTTAATACACAGTTTGGGCTTTCCATACCTGTACCTATAGCTAAAACAAACACTAAGCATAGTTTCTTAGTATAGCTTGAAATCCAATGAAGGCAGAATCCAGTGTTTTCTGAAAGTCCAACAGAAGTGAGATAAGAACTCTGAAAAGAAAATTTTCAAATTATTCTCAAGAACATTTATTTTCAATCTTGCAGGTCTTCTCTTATTTGAATTAAACTATTTCTCATTAATGTCAGCATGAACGAACAACCTTCAGGCTATAAATATAATTAAAAGGAATAATATAACAATGGCTGTGTTAACCTTGTGATGATCAAAGGGTTCTTACTTAGATTCTAGTATTTCCTTAAAACAAAAACTATGCCAAATCCCCATTCTTATCGCCATGTTGCCAAATAAGAATAAAGTTTGACCTGAAAGTTATAAGTCACTGTTATAAAAGTCCATGCTTTGCAACTAGGTCCTTTGCTACTGAGGACAATTTAAAAAATGAACAATTCCTTTCCCATGCGTAAGGGACGTTGAAAAGTTTTAAAAAAAATCCTCTGAGGGAAAATGTGTTGAAAGGGGATCTTTTGTTACACTATGCATCTTTTGAGACCAGCAATTACGGGACACTTTTTCGTTTACACTTTATTTTCTTTTGTTTGATAGAAAGAAAATTACAGAAGCACACTGTCATATAATTTCAGGGTAAGTAATGGTCTACTAAAATAAATGATGAAAAAACTTCAACATAATTGCAGATCAGTGCTAACTCTCAGCAAATCTTAATATCTGGCTGATGCTATTTAATCTTCAAGCAGAGACAGTGAATTCTCCTAGTTCTAGCTTCCTGACCTTTTCCACCTGAGCTATGTTAAACATCACTGGGGCCAGAAGCAACGCACTGTCTATATATGGGGTACCTCAGACTCATATAGTGCTTTTTCTGTATTAAGAGACTTCAGTTATAGATTTTAATTTATATTGTACTACAGTAATTCATATTCTACTAATATGTTCTCCTGGAGCATGAAGATCCACTCTTCCAATTTATGAAATCCTGTGATTCTATGCTTACACAGAATGAAAGGATAAAGCTGGTAAAGAAATACGTCTACACAATTTCATGCTTATAACTTACTCATTACATTTTCAGATGTTTCCAATATGCATCATGTACGCACATTTTAATGATATAGGTAAGTGGGTTCTTGGAAGATTATTTGCTGTGAGATACTAAATACACAGAAACCATACTAGCTCAGGAAGTCTCCAAATACAAAGTATTTGGGAGAGTTCCAAAATAAAATACTACATCTGCTTACACACTTTTGTAGGCATCTGTTTATGGTCACTGGAGGCAAGATACTGGGTCCAACACACTTTTGATGTGATTCCTTATATTCTTCGTACTTTACACTCTCAATGTTTTAGTTCCATTAAAAAACAAACCTCTAATTTCAAGCTTTCTCACAAGCTTCATCAGAATTTCATTTTATTTCTATATAGCTCAGAGAAGGTGGGGTCTTTTCAAATTTAAATTTCAACTCCATATAACTAAACAGAAATCTGTTAAACACTGAAGCCTTTGTATGTTGTCATCTAAAATCACTCACATTATCATCCACAAAAAGCCTTAAAATCTCTATTGGCTAAAAAGAACCAAGCAAGGCATTATTTAATTTAATTACTCTTAATGGACTAAAGGGTATACTTGTTGCTCCCAGCTCTGCAGTAATATAGAAATAAATGATCCATTTTAAACACAGGTTGAAAGGGAAGAACATCAGAAGTATTATAAGATTTCAAAAATGCCACTTAAATATATATTTTTTCAATATTTCAGCATACTTATTACTAAATAAAACTGATCAGAAAGTAGTATCAAAAATTATCTTAAGATTAATACTTTGTCAGTAGGATTATGCTCAGTGATATTTACCACAAAAAGACAGTTGCAATATTCAAAACATACTGTTAGCAAAAAATAATAAACCAGAAAACAGAGGGAAGATAAAAAAAATTTACCTCAGTATCTGATTTTCTCTCTTGCCTGTCAGAGCATCTGGTTTTTGCCTTTCAGTAATTTTAAGCATAGCTGAGGTCTGCAATAGCCAAATTTTTACAAAACAAGTTACATTCTAACCCAAATCACAGTTAAGGAAGTAAAATTTTTCCAAGCAAATTTTGACCCAGTATGGTCTTACTGCCATAAGTACTTTAAGCACATTTTATACTGATGTCTTGTTGATTTGGGGAATTGAGCACATGCCAAAATCCCTTGTGGTGCAAAAATACCATTATTTATTAAGCTGGACAATCAGAGAATATGTAATTTCAATCAGCATATTTTTGGTCATACTGCCTATAACTCCACATTTTCCATGAATCAGTGTTATAACATACTTCCCTGAATGGGAAACAAAACAAATTACAGTGACTTACATGTACTTTTTTTTTATGATTAAACTATTAATTAAGAATAGGAACTACTTTAAAAAAATTAACACAGTATGGAAATCTCTGCCTACTCTGGAAGTGTACATTACTCGACATTGTGAAAAAAAAAACAGTTGTTACCTTTGAAATTGCATTTAACAGAATCTGAGCAGGATTAAATCAGTTGATTCTCCTGTTTCTTAGCTCACAGGATTCTCTCCTCACCCAGAACTTGCTCGCTCATCCAGCTGCCTTTACTAGAACTACTTCTCAGAGGGACAGCATGGACAGAAAACCAGAAAACGCAGAAAGTCTAGGGCTTGTCTGGCTGCTGTGCACACTTGGGTGTCTAGTGTAAGTGAAGGGAATTTTCTCAGCCCCTTTAAACAGATCCATCAGGAACATGTAAGAAATATATGATAATCATGATAAATGCTGTATCAGCTACACTAGGCCAGTGAAATCTTTCTGAAAGCCTAGAGCTAGATTTTGGGGCTACCTAGACAAGGCTCAAGGTTTGGATTATTACCTTACATTACATTACAACATTACATTTTATAGCATGTGTGAAAACATCTTATATTTGCGAGAAAAAATTCCGGTACTGAAAAGCAGCATGTCTCAGGGCTAATAAGACAATGGTTTCTACTGGGCTTCCATGTATGCAATGCACTAGGCAAGTATTCCTGACCCAAAAGTCAGGAATTCCAAAGTCAGCTATAACTAAAGCAGAGTCTTTCCATAGTGCAATAGGATCTGCACAGATTTTCTTCCTTGAAGGCAAGAAATTTTTTGCCCTCAAGGAACTCAGGTACCGAAGATGATGGCTAGTATAATTTATCATCTTTCTGAGCAGATGTGATTCTTTGACACAGGAGGCAAGACCTATGCTACGATTGCCTTCACTGTTTTTTCAGTTTATATGAATATAGAGTGCCAGTATATATGATTATTACCCATAGCATTGTTTTTGCTGGTACAGTTTACTCTAGGCCTATCCAAAGTAAAATGAGCTGTTGTTGCACAAGCAGCTCTCCAGCTGTATCTATTTATAATTGTGGGCTTTTTCTGCAAAGAAATCCCAATCACAAGTCAGTCTCTACTATGCTAGTAAAAGTTTGTGGTAAAAATCTGGCCTGAAAGAAAGGCCCTTTCAAACATCTGCTATCGTTCTTCTTTGCCTGCTTCTCAAACCGATTCCTGAATACTACCAGAAAGTGCTTTGGGATCTGTGGAGTCCAAATCCCAAACCAACATTTTTTCAGATTGAAAACAAAACAAAAAAAGCAAACAAGAATACACTATAAACCATCGGTGCCTCTAGCATGAGTTCTCAAGTTTGTGAAATCTTTAATTTATTTTAAAACTATCATTTAAAATTGACTATATCCTAAGGATCCAGACAAGACAAACACAAAAGCACTCAGAAGATACATATATTTTGTAAAAAAAACAGAAAAGCACTTGATAATAAAAAAGGTAAATAAAAGAAACGGCTGCTCAGAAGCAACTCTTTTGCTTCTGCCGCAGGCTTCAGGAGGGATCCAAAACAAAGCAGAAAAAAACTCAAAACATCTGAGATATTTTAACGCGTATCAGTAAAAGCTTTCGCTGTATTTTTTTTTACTGTGAGCTGTAGAAAAGCACCAGCATAATGAAGAAAAAAAGGCCTAAAATGACATTATTTCCATTCTCTATAATTAAGAGAGTGTCACTGGAATATATTATTGTCACAGGATAACAATATCCTGTAGTATATTTACTTTGAAATGTATGGAAAATATTAGCCTATGGGTGAATCCTTCTAACTCAACTGCTGCCAACATTACTGTGCAGGCTCTAGAACAGTGAAATTTTAAATACATCTGAAAGACTCTGGACTGAATGTAAGTTTACTTCTGCCTCTATTGTTAAAATGAACTGTTAAAAGGGAGGGCATACACATGTAGATTTTAAAAGAATATAAAAGCAACAATAAAATCAAAGTCACAGCAGAACAGGACCTGAAAGGACCAGATGAGCCACTGATTCTTTTGCAGCCAAGGGTCAACCATGATTAGGTTGACTGCCATGTTCAGATTAACAGCATAAAAGGTAGATGTCTAATCTAAACTACTCACCTAGGCTCTGCTTATAGCTCAGGAAGAGAGACAGACAAGTCCCTGGGAAATTCATTTCATCTCGACTTAAAACAGGTGTGATGGCTTGGGCCTTAAACATGCTTCTCCCCCCGTAAATTACAGAGGATCCCTCTACAACTACTTTAGATTTTTAACATTCAGAAAACTAAAGGTAGGGAGATTAATCTGAAGATCGTTATTTTGCTCACATATGATCCTGAAATCATGAGGGCAAATAATTGATTACTGAAAATATAATGCACTAACTACCTTGAGCGTCAGTGGCAAAATCCTAGTCCCTTATGCCTCAATTAAGCAACATGCCAGTGAATATACCCCCCACTTCAAATAATGCTTTATGCATGTTTAAGTGCTTTTCTAGGCAGCTGAACATGGGGACTCCTCTTGCTAGCATGTTCAGCAATAAAATCACCTTTTATTTCCTACCTTCTTCCTCCAGCAGCTCCCAGTTTCATTGTTAATGCAAAGATATTCACAGTTATCATGGACATTTTCTGAGTTCTTTATTGGTTTCATGCTGGAAAGTTAGTTTAAGCAATTCTTTCAGATTTCCCAAAGCAGCAATGAACCATGCAAGAGAATCAGTTGCCCACTGCGCAAACACATGGAAACACTGCTAATTACAGCCTTTCATCCCAGTTAGCTATGACAGGGATTCAGTGACAGTCATTCTTGAGTATGACACTAAGCTATTACTTTTATATTATTCAGGAATTAAGAGTTCTTTCAGAATAAGAAGTACTAGAAATCTTTACAGGTTCCTTTACAGGTTCCTCCAGTTTGTAGTGTCAACTTTTACGTATTACATAATTTGCAGCAATAAAATTTAATCTCTGATTTCACCAAAACAAGGTATCTTATCCCTTATCTAATAAATTTAACTGAAGTATGTGCTGTATTGTCATTCTGAGTTGGCTGGCTAGTTTGTCTTTAAAAGAAACAGGAGGAATACAAAAAAGAGGAATTGCTACTTAAGGTGGATGTCACTACTGCGAATAACTTGGTTCTGTTCTTTTCAACCGAAACATTAAAGGAGCATAGCAGTCTTGCAACTGATGGATGGGCAAGCATCAGAAAATTGCTTCAGTTTTCTCAGTTAAGAGCACTTTGACTATCCCTGGGAACAAGGAAACTTCAACTGATATTTTAAAAAAAGTATTTAAAAATAAATAAACTGTAGTAATCTTTCAATTTCTAGCTTTTAAAATCTTTAAAAAGCAGCTTTTATAACAGATTTGGTAGATGAACGAAGCGATAAAAGACTTTTTGACCTAATGACATTAGCGGATGCTGTTGCTATTTTAAGAAAGCATAGTGATTTTTTAAAGTTATTGAGTCACATATCTTTCTTACCTGTAAGATCTCTGAGAGGTACATGCGCCGCTCATCATTAGCTTTGTGGTAAGCCTACAGTTAAAATAAGGGATACAGGCTACCATTAAGCAAAATATTTTAAAAGTTGAATGATACAGGAAGGAATAAACACACAGCAGAGCTTTTTTCCAGTGACATATTTTGTGGAACTATTCTATTGTATGCTCCACACACATTGTCTGTTTGCCAGACAACAAAACGGCTTTTATAGATTAGAGGCACACAGTGACTGCAAACCTTTGCTTCTTGTTCCAGTCTAAGTTCATAGTCTTTTAGCTGATTCTGGAGACTCTTCTTCTCTTCTTCTAGTTGTTTAAGAATCTCCTTTAAGGAACCCTGTGGTTATAGTAAATAACAAATTACAAATATTTCCATTCCATATTCAGATATCATCAACATAGTCCTTAATCTTCAAGCATTATGAAGTTTGTCATTCTGTTTGCCTCTCGTGTGCTTTTTGTTCACGTGGTTCTGTCTGGCACACTGCAGAGACAAAAGCAATTAACCATATGCTGCAATTATCAGTTACGCACTACGCATTTCCACTGTGTTAAAATGATACGGATACGGTTTTCCACACTGCTACTCCCTGACAGGTCAGCCAAGTCACCTTGTGGTGACCACCCAGAATCGCTCCTTACTTCTAACCAAAGTTCACTGTGATGGCTCCTTTTTAGTAGAAGGAGGATTTCAGATCTCACCTGCACATCCATTTGCAAAGAGAGCTGCTTGACTGGCTGAAGAGGTACATGGGATGTCAAAGGTAACTCATAACAACTTGACTAGAAAGCAGTATTTTGTGGGGAGACTGTCTGTCTTAGGTGTGTAGCCATCCACCTTCTCTGCAATTGAGATGAACTAGAGTAACAGTGATAGAGTCCATTTTTGGTTACTGGCACTGGCCAGTTCTTTGCTTGCCATGTACTGGAAGTAGAACACATAGCCAAGAAGGTCCTTCTCCATTTCTAACACAGGACACTGCTTCTCATGATGCCTTTCATAAATTCATCCACTCCATCCAGTAGAGACAGTCTTAATGCCGATCCCTGTAGGTGTTCGAGGCCAGGTTGGATGAGGTTTTGAGCAACCTGTTGTAGTGGAGGGTGTCCCTGCCCATGGCAGGGGGGTTGGAACTAGACGATCTTCAAGGTCCCTTTCAACCTAAACCATTCTATGATTCTATGATTTTAATGTCAACAGGTTTTCCCATCATGAGCCACTTTTAATAAATACATATTTCAGTCTGGTTTTGCAACAATTATTTCTCTCTTTCTCTATCTTAATATGAAAAAAAAAAATATTTGCCTTTCTCCAACTCACACAATGTCATCATCCACAGCTTTATTAAAACCACTTGCTACCAGATCAGTGATGTAGCAAGCCAGTTCTTCCAGAATCCTAAGGTATGGATTACCTATTTCCATCAATTTGAGCTTACCCAGCTCCTTGAGTTTTCCTTAGGATTTGGTTATTGTAATTTCCTCTTCTAAGCACTTGCTGACATCAGCTATTTCTTCCTTCATCCTGCATTTTATTGTTCCTGCCTTTACTGAAAACCTAGGCAATATATACATGTTTAATTTAAAGCGAATGAATTCATCATCACTTGATCTTTTTTGACTGGCTTTTCTGCAATGTTCTTCTAGATTTTCAAAATCTAAAACTGCATTTCCTCCTTTTTTATCCAGTATTTTCTGATAAAATGTGTTAACTATCATGACCACTGAGATCTGTGCCTCATCATTATTACTAGCACTTAGTTTTTAGTAATTGTTTACAAGTATCACGTATGATACAATTTCTGGAAGACACATAATAATATTATATCCAAATGCATCCATCCAAATTTTATATTTATATCTACATTTGGAATTCAGTTTGAGGTGAGCATATCTACATTTGAGTGTCCATATATGAACTAAGCTCCTACTAAGAGTCATAGTCAATACCATCGATGATGCGCAGCGATTAATTCAGCTGAGCAGCTAAAGAGCTCAACTCAGTTGCCATCTGAGATGCCCTAGAGTGTCCAAGATGTCCACGTGTGGCAGATATAACACGTGTGTTACAGGAGACACATGTTCTTCTAGAGCAGCAGTGGGCTACTCTGCACTGAAACATCTACAAGTCTCTTTGTTTACACAACTATTTCACTGAAAATGCCTACTTAGACAAATCTAGTTACAACTCTCTATACTCAGCTGACTCTATTAATGAGACCTGCACTGCCCGTAGTAGGAATTAAAGATCTAGCCAAGAGGTAGACATCTACATGTAAAATGTAGATCAAAATATTGGTGTAGAAAATATTGGCATCCTAATACTTAAGTAAGTCATATTGTTTCAATACATATTTCAATATTATTTCCCAATATTATTGTGATTAAAATTTGTTTTTTTATCTATCCTCAAGATGAATTAATCCAAACAGATGATGAAGAAAGAACAAACAACATTAATGTAAAAGTCTCCCACATCTGCTACATACCACATCTATTTCTGTTTTGATCTTTCCTGCCAAGTGCATACCTTTAATACTTGTTATCCCATCATGTTTTCATTATCAATTTCAGGCTAGTCAGGTTGTTCCATTTGTCTGCTTAGGACTCATGTGCAAAATAAGTTTTTGTTTCAGAACTTTTTTTTCTTTTTATTTCTAACTCAAACATCTTCCTAGTCAGTATAGCTGAAACCTTTCACTTTCTGTACTGACTACTTGACCACTGCCTTAATAATCAGTTATTTCTTCTTATGACCTTAATGCTTTGTTTGTTTGATTTTGTTTGATTTTCCTGGTAAACACAGAAAGGAAGATAACATAACTCCAAATATTTTCCCCTTCTTTTTTCATGGAAATTTTTCCCTATTTATCATACAAACCTCAGATCCAGAAGGCCAGTATCCATGTATGGTCTATTTCTCAGAGAGTTTATGAATGCTTGCCAATGGTAAGAAAATCCCGAATCTAATTTGGGATTTAACCCTTAAGTGATCAATACTGAGTCTAGTCCTGTTTAACATCTTCATTAATGATCTAGATGATGGAGCAGAGTATCCCATCAGGAAGGTTACAGACGACACCAAACTGGGAGGAGTGGCTGATACACCAGACGGTTGTGCTGCCATACAGAGGGACCTCAACAGGCTGGAGAAATGGGCTGACAGGAACCTCATAAAGTTGAACAAGAAGTGCAAAGTCCTGCACCTGGGGAGTAAAAATCCCATGAACTGATACATGCTGGAGGCTATCCAGCTGGAAAGCAGCATGGCAGAAAGGGACCTGCGAGTGTGGTGGACACCAAGTTGACCATGAGCCAGCAATGTGCCCTTGCTGTAAAGAAGGCCAATGTTATCCTGGGCTGCATTAGGCAAAGCATTGCCAGGAGGTCAAGGGAGGTGATTCTCCCCTCTGCTCAGGGTGAGTCGACATCTGGAGTGCTGTGTCCAGTTCTGGGATCCTGTGCTGGCTTTGGCTGCGATACAGTTAATTTTCTTCATGGTAGCTAGTATGGGGCTGTGTTTTGGATTTGTGCTGAGAACAGTGTTGATAACACAAGGATGTTTTGGTTATTGCTGAGCAGTGCTTACACAGAGTCAAGGCCTTTTCTGCTCACATCACCCCACCAGCGAGCAGGCTGGGGGTGCACAAGAGGTTGGGAGGGGACACAGCTGGGACAGCTGACTCCAACTGACCAAAGGGATATTCCATACCATATGACATCATGCTCAGCATATAAAGCTGGGGAAGAAGAAGGAAGGGGGGACATTTGGGGTGATGCTGTTTTTTTTCAAGTAGCTGTTACATGTGAAGAAGCTCTGCTTTCCTGGAGACGGCTGAACACCTGTCTGCCGATGGGAAGTAGCGAATGATTTCCTTGTTTTGCTTTGCTTGCACGCGGGACTTTTGCTTTATGTATTAAACTGTCTTTATCTCAACCCATGAGTTTTCTCACTTTTACCCTTCTTATTCTCTCCCCGATCCCTCCAGAGGGGAGAGAGAGCGGCTGTGTAGTGCTTAGTTGCTGGCTGGGGTTAAATCACGACAGCTCCCCAATACAAGAGAGACACGGACATACTGGAGAGAGTCTAACAAAGTGCCATGAACATGATTAAGAGACTGAAGCATCTCTCACATGAGGAAAGGCTGAAAGAGCTGGGAGCGTTCAGCCTAGAGAAGAGCAGGCTAGGGGGGATCTTATTAATGTATCTAACTACCTGGAGGGAGAGTGCAAAGAAGACGCAGCCAGGCTGTTTTTAGTGGTGCCCAGGGTCCCTCATGACAGGACATGAGGCAATGGGCACAAGCTGAAACACAGGAGGTTCCCTCTGAACATCAGGAAACACTTTTTTACTGTGAGAGTGACCAAGCACTGGAATAGGTTGCCCAGGGAGGTTGTGGGGTCTCCTTCCTTAGAGATATTAAAAAAACATCTAGACATGATCCTGGACAACTGGCTCTAGGTGGCCCTACTTGAGCAGTGGGGCTGGACTAGATGACCTCCAGAGGTCCCTTCCAGCCTCAACAATTATGTGATTCTGTGACCTTCATTTTATTGTTACAACTGAGTCTTCCATCTTTTGGTCAGTACCTTCATCAGATCAGTTCAGATTCCATTTTTATGGGCAGCAATCCAGCCTAGCACAGTCTTCTTTTGTCTGTTCCAGAGTGAACCTGAAAATGCCATTTGTCATTACATGAAAGATTATGTCATTCTTATAAGAGTATTTTCATCTGCGGTCCATAACATCATCAAGCCATTCTATTTTCTGGATGTACAAAGTGATAGCCCTACCAATAGTTTCTAACAGATAACCACCAAACATACATCTACCTCCTACCTCTGCCTGTTTGAAATATCAGACAATCTTCTCCTTTTTAGTATCTGTAGATCGTTGCATCTTTTATTCTTTTTCATAATCTTCTGTACAACACATTACTTACTTGGCTCCCAATTTTATTTTTGACAGAAACATTTCCGGCTGTTACTGAGATTTACCTAGCAATGATTTCCATTAAAGTCAAGATTTTGCAGCTGCATGGCAAAAGGCACAGTATTTTTTAAACATACTGCCAAGAGAGAATAACCCCTCCCGCTGTTCAAAAAAAAAAAAAAAACCAAAAACCAGAAGAACTATACCTTTCAAGAATATTTTGCACATGACCGAACTGTTACTAACTTTAATCTGTTATAACAGACACACTGAAAACATGAAAAGAATTGGGGTTTTTTGGTTATTTCCTAGTTAAAGCAGAAGTACCTTGGATGCAGATGAAATATTTGTCCTAATACAGAAGGCTCTTACAGTCAATACAGTCAACGTTAGCCGATTCAAGG